TCTCTCTCTCTCTCTCACACACACACACACACACACACACACACACACCTCTAGCAGCCACAGGGCAGTAATGGGGCACACAGTGGGATGTCAGATTGCATTTAAGGGAAACCTCAGAGAGCCCCTTGAGAGGCCAAATGGTGAGGGGCTGCATCTCAAAGTGAGAGCATCCGGATGACACTTGGGAATCATGAATCCTCCTCTGGTCTGTGGGAGGATGCAGCGGGTTGTGCTGTCCACGGTGATGTGTGTTTTCATGGTGGTGAATGAGGAGGAGCTGAAGGTCAGTGTGTCCTCGGTTTGAGTCCAGGACCTATTTCTCTCAGTGTCTGTCTGTCTGTCTGTCTGTCTGTCTGTCTGTCTGTCTCTTTCTCTAAGTTAACACTGGGGCCTCTCTTTCCTCCTCCATGAAACAGGCTCAGTGGTAGAGCACACTACATGAAGCCTGGGGTTCCATCCCAAAACAACTCAGCCAGGCTTCAGCCCCACCCAGAACCCAAGGGCCAGAAGACAGACCAGGACAGCATGTTGTCCCCAGTGTGCCATGGGACTGGTTTGGGTGGGTGACCTCAGTGACCTCAGAGGCTCTGAGCCAAGGGGACAGGAGTTTAGTTCCTGGGGTTAGGGGGGGGCTTCGACAATTCATGGCCAAGTCCCCAGTCTGTAATGTATGATGACATCACAAGGCAATGGAAGGTGACAAGAACCCACACAGCCTTAGTGCCTGACACGTCCCGAGTGTCACAGCACAGTGATCATTAGATGTTTGGCTGTGGGGTGTTTTTATTTTGACGTATGTGTGTGTGGTGTGATGTGTGTGTATACACCTATGGGTGCAGGTGCCTGTGGAGGCCAGAAGGCTGTCCCCTGCCTTCTGCTGGGACTCGTCCTTTGTGGTGGCCTTTGTGCTCTCGAGGGCTGCGCCGTCTCTCCAGCTATAGGATCATGGTAGTAAAGCCCAGGAGGCTGAGTGCCTTGCCCCATGTCTTCTGGAACTTCAGTGTGCACAACACACCACACACACCCTCCCGGCCCAGAATCTTCACATTCCCTGGAGTTGGATCCTGCTTACACTGTGACCCTGCAAGGCCCCAAGGGCATGACATCAACTGTCACCATGGCAGTGGTTCCAGTGGCCTGGTTGCTGGAATGAGACCTGCCCAGGTGAAGCCAGTTTCTGGGAGTACGGTATACTAGCCAGCTGCCACATCGGGAGATCCACCTGGAGAGAAAGAATAAGCAGCCATGTAGCTAGGGAGGGAGGGAGGGTTGCATGTGTAGATTTTTTTTCAAAAGTTTATTCTTTGTGATTTTACATCATGCATCTTGATTCCATTCATCTCCCCGCCCCTTTGCATCCACCCTCTGATCTTGCAACCCAGCCTCCCATAAATAAAATAAAAATTAAGAGAAGAAAAGTCTCGTCCTGGAAGCTGTAGCGAGGCACACACTGTAGAGTGAGTGGCACCGTATACCCTTTTGCCCGTTTATCTTTGCTTGCAAGTGTTCATTGTCAGGGGTCATTGATCTGGTTCGAGGCTACTACTGCCTTCTCCATCATCGATACTGGGCCCTCACTGGGACTTGGATATTCTGTTGTTGCCCTGTGTCACGGAGATCCTGCAGCTTTGGACCTGTAAGATGTGCCCCTTCACATACCACAGCAGGCCATAGATGGGGTGATTGAAATGATTTCTTGGGCACCCATCGTGGAGGATGCTAATTGGGGTGACCTGACATACCAGTGCCCACCTCCGGTCTGGTCACTTTGCTGTGTGCTGTGGTGATAATGTGTCTGCTGCCTTGGTGGGTACCATGCCAACTTCCTTACCTGGAGCTGGTATAGCATCTCGGGCTCCCAGGGCCTCCCTGCCAGTTTCCTTCAGTGGGGCTCACATGGCAGATGACAGATCCAAGGTACCACAGTCTTAACTCTGTCCATGTGTGCTTTAGACAGCCTGTGTTGAGTGGACACTGGTCTCCGTGTTTACACTGAGTAAAAAATGACCCCCAAGGGCTCATGGATTTGATTGCTCAGTCCCCAGCTGGTGGCACCCTTTAGGGAGGTTATGGAACCTTTAGGAGGTGGAGTCTTGATGAGGAAAGTAGTCACTGGGGATGGGCCTTGAGAGTTCATAGCCCTGATCCACTTCCTGTTGTGTGTGTCTCTCTTTCCTTTCTGTTTCTGGGAGCTCCCTGCTCCTGCTGCCAGGCTTTCTCTGCCTGTTTCCATTCCTACGCACCAAGATGGACTCCATCCCTCTGGAACCATAAGCTAAAGTGAACCCTTTCCTAAGTAGCTGGTTTTGTTTTGTTTTGTTTTGTTTGTTTGTTGTTTTTTTGTTTTCTGAGACAGGATTTCTCTGTGTAGCTCCTGGCTGTCCTGGAACTCTTTTTGTTGACCAGACTGGCCTTGAACTCACAGAGATTCTCCTGCCCCTGCCTCTCCTGTGCTGGAATTGAAGGCATACACCACCACTGCCAGACTTTGATAAAGCTTACGATGGGGCAAATCAGAATCCTAGGGGCTCAGTTTCTAACCAAAGAACAAAGGTGGCAAGGATTGGAGGGACCAGCCAAAACCTCAGGGACACTCCCTGCTCCACGGTGCCTCTGACCACTGTCACACTTGCCAACCTGAAATAAGCCAGACTGTAAACACTTGTGCACCCCAGCTCCGCCCTCCCTGGCGCTGTGGCCAGAATGACTTCTCTGGGATGGGATAAGAGGACTCATCCACCCCCTTCTATAAAAATGGATCAGAAATGCCAGCCAATGGCAGGTGGGGAATTCCTTATGGTGCTGGCCCAGGCTTGCCTGGAGGGTGCTTGCTGACTAGGTGACTTTGTCGGGTCTTGGAGTTTCTTTCCTTTGTCGTTTTATTTATTTGTGGTTTGTGTACAGGGAGTTAGAAGACAACTTGCAGGAGTCAGTTCTGTCCCACCATGTGTGTCCTCAAGTCGTCAGACCTGGTGGCAAGCACCTGTATAAGCCGTCTTGCCTTAGTTTTTTTTTTTTTCAAGACAGGGTTTCTCTGTAGCTTTGGAGCCTGTCCTGGAACTCCCTTTGTAGACCAGGCTGGCCTCGAACTCCCAGAGATCCGCCTGCCTCTGCCTCCCAAGTGCTGGGATTAAAGGCGTGCGCCACCACTGCCCGGCTTGCCTTGGTTTCTTAAAGTCTGGTTCCACCATAATATGCTATACGATGTTGGAGGCAGGACACAGAGCTGTCCAGCTGTGTCCTCAGCTCCACCCTGCAAAGCTTTCAGCTCTGTCGGTCTGGAAACCCAGCCCTGGTGACCTCAGCTGCCGTGCAGCCAAGCTGGCTACAGAGAGGACAAGAGTCAGCAGGATTCAGCAGGAGGCTCAAAGTTGGAATTCCGAATGCCGACCAGCCCTGGAGTTCCCACTGCGTGGGGCTCCCCGTGGCTCTCTGTGTGCAGTGGCATGGCCCCAGATGCCCCACCTCCCACCTGTTCTACCCAGGGAGAGAGGCCAAAGGGCAGGAGGGCCAGAAGACATTACCTTACGTTGGCTGCCAGGAGCTAGAGTTCTTGGTTCCTGGGGTCTGCCCCTGGCTGTAATTCCTTCATGCACACAGACTGAGCCTGCAGGATTGTATGTGGAGAACAAGATGATGAGGTGCACATAACCTGTTTGGTTTGATTTGAACAGCTTTGAGACTGAGTTCACCTATGTCCCAGTTCACCCACTTGAACTTTATGGGGCTGTGGTATTCAACACAGTCAGAGTTAGAGCTCCCGACAGCCGGGCGCTAGAACCGCCTCACCTCAGAGAAAGCTCCCACCCTTTGTAGCCACCCCACCTTCTCCATCAGCTGCTCTACTCTGTCTCCATGTGTTTCCTCTTGGGGACATTTTGAGGCAGTGGACTCACAATGTGTAGCCGTCAGTGACCGGCTGCACCTGGCTGCTGTCACGAAGCATTTCTTGGTTAAATCATGTTTCACTGTAGCGATGGGTCTCTTTTTTGTCATTCACCATCCCCGGCTGAACATTTAGACTTTGCTTATTATGACTAACACTTGCTTATATGCAGAGATTTCTTAAATATTTATTTTTAATCGCGTATATGTGTGGGTGGGTATGTTCACACAAGTGTAGGTTTCCATGATGGTCAGAAGAGGGTGCCAGAATCCCTGGAACTGGAGTTCCAGGCAGTTGTCAGGCAGCTGATGTAGGGGCTGGGAAATGAACCCTGGTCCTCTCCGAGAGCAGAACCACTGAGCCATCTCTCCAGACTCAACAGTTGCCGTTTTATTCTTGAGTTGTAGGGATTTATTTATTTTTTTTTTTTACATTTTCATTGCATTTAATTTAGAGAGAGTATATACACATCACATATGCATTATGGGACAATTATGGAAGTCAGAGGACAGCTTATGGGAGGCAGCTCTGTTCTTCCACCAGTAGGTTCTGGAGATTAAACCCAGGTCGTCAGACCTGATTGTGGGCATGTTTACCAGCTGAGCCATTTTGCTGGCTTGGGATTTATTTTTTTTGATTCTAGATGCATCTTATTGGATATGGGATTCGCAGGTATTTTCTCCCTCCTGAGGGCACAGAGGTTTTCATTCGGCAGAGTCTAGCCCTATGTGACCTGTGATGTGTGGTGTCTTATCTTGCATTCCATTAAACCCTTACATGTTAAAAGTCAAGTGAGGCTGGCAAGAGAGTCTTGGACTGGGCTGAGCTGTTCTGTGGACTGGGGTGGGAGGGGTGACCCTGGGGCTCATTTCAGCCATAAGGTTGGGACCTCCCTTCGTATGAACCCCTGACACTAGCCATGCAGTCCCGCAGTGCTTCCGTTGTAGATACTCAAATCAGAGAGATGAGAAGGGGGCCTGGCTCCCAATTGCTGTGGTGTGGGGGTCCAGGAGAGATATAGTAGCGAGTGAACCCCACCTTGTCACCTGACAGAAGGCACCCAGAGGAACAGCTAGGGCACCGGGAGCTAATTAATGCCCTCTACTGTCCACAGCCATGAAAGCCGACCGGAAGCGCTTAAAGGGCGAGAAGACCGACTTGGTGAGCCAGATGCAGCAGCTGTACGCCACCCTGGAGAGCCGCGAGGAGCAGCTGCGAGACTTCATCCGCAACTACGAGCAGCATCGCAAGGTCAGAGCCTCTCCGGTCCCCTGTCCTCTCCTGCTCGTCCCTGCCCTCCTCTCTCAGACATACACGATCCTCCTTTCTTCTCTGCCTTGAATCCCAGAGTGCCCTTTGAGGCTCTGCTGTGTGCTTCCAGTCTGGACACTCCAAGAAAGCCAGCCCAGCTCCTGGCTGGGCCCTGTGTCCCTAGGTGGACAGGCCAGGACAGTGTGGACTTGGGAATCCAGCTGCTTCAGTTCCCTGCTCCTCTGGGCATACCCTTGGACCTCACCCTAGAGCCTCAGTTTCCCCTTCTGTGGAAGGTGCAGAGCTGTTGTGAGGACCGAGATACTGAGCACTGAGCACCCAACATGATAAGCCACACCTCATCTGTAACACCTTAGCAGAAGGGTGAGGAGTTAGCCAGGAGCCGTGGGAGATAGCAGGGCCTGCTGCCTGCAGAGAGGACGCTCAGAAGGCTGCCCGAGGAGGTGGCACTGTGTCCCTGAGTTGGGCTCCCTAGGACTTGCTTTTCTCTTAGTGACAAAATGCCTACCCACCAAAAGCAGTTTCATGGGGGAAGGGTTTGTTTTGCACCAGGGTTGGAAGATAGAATCCATGCTGGTCGGAAAGACGGGAGGCGGCTGGTCACATGGCTTCTGCAGCCAGGAAGCAGAGAGAGAGATGAATGCCTCACCCATGTTCTCCTGATTCAATTTGGAGCTTTAGCCTGTAGGATGGTGCTGCCCACCTTCGGGGTTTGAATTCCCACCCCAGTTCGCCCCATCTAGAAATTCCCTCACAGACCCAGGCTCAGAGAGTCTACATCCTGTCAGGTTGGCGGTCAAGAGTCACCACCCTGGGCTCCTTGGGATGAGGAGGAGTTTTGTAGATTGCATGGCTGTAGGATTTGGGTCAGTAAAGACTTGTAAGAATGTGCGGTGTAGGTGCCTCCAAGGGGTAAGAGTCAGGCCCCAGTCAGAGGCCTCTGTGAGCCACTATGTTGAGCAGGTCAGAAAAACTGGGCCCGCAAGAGGGCTCAGAGGGCAAAGGCACTTGCTGCCAAGCCTGACGGCCTGAGTTCAACTCCTATTGTGAGGGGAGAGTTGGCTTTCAACCTCCACATGCCATGTGGGCTAGAGTGCTCTTGAGTTCACGGACGTTTGATCATACATGTGTTCCCTGTGTGTCACTGTGTCCCCAGTGCCTGGCAGGAACAACCTGAGGGAAGGACTTATTTGTACTCGTGGTGTCAGACCATCATGGGGCGGGAGCTATAGGGGAGTTAATGGCAGTGGGAGCACGCGAGGGAGGCGCTCACATCATGGCTGACTGGGAAGCGGAGTACGAGGCTGGCGGAAAACAACAGAAGCAGAGCGCTGTAGATGGAGCCAAGGCAGCAATACGGCCTTCAGAGGCTCTCCTCTAGTGCCTGCTGCTTCCACCCGCCTGGCCCCGCTTCCTGAAGGCATCACACTCCCCAAAGTGTGCCACCAGCGGGGGGGGGGGGGGGGGAGAGAGCAAAACAAGAGCCTGCGACAGGCGTATCCAATTCATATCTAACAGTTCAGCCTGCAGCTTTGGGGACAGGAGGGCTGAATGGCCGGCTCTACAGTAGCAATGGTGGCAGACACCACGCGAGGGGCCCAGTCAAGGGGGTCACGTCCGAGCTGCAGGTAGAGGCCAGGTGGCAGCGGCTGGGCTGGAATTTACATGGTCTCGTCACGTGCCTACTGTAGTCATCACCAGCGACGCTCCTTGTCACTTCCCAGGCAGGCAGATCTCTTCCTCTCTGTGGTCAAACGCCTCTAAGCAGGAGGTACAGGTGCCTCCTGCCTGTTCTGTGTCCAGCCAGGTTGGAGAAATAGCATCTGAATGACCTTGGGTTACTGACAGCCCAGGCCACTGTGCAGACGGCAAGACTAAGATGGTTAAGGGTCTGGTGACTGATCAAGACCAATTATTTATTTTTGTGGTGTTCAGGATGAACTTATGCAGGTACTCTATCACAGAACTGGCGCCTCAGCCCCTCACTGGGGGATTCTAGGCAAGCGCTCTTTTCTTGGAGATACTTTGTAGAAACTAAAGCTGAAGCCTTGTTTCGTCTGGCAGACGTGATTTTCATTTTATGCAGGAACCAAATGAACAGTGTTAATAGAACTCTGGCTCCCCAGTAACTGGGCTGCAGGCTCTCAGCCTCCCTTGGCCCACTGGCTCTCAGACCCCCCACAGACCCCAGTCAGAGCAGGTAGACACAGCGGGGACTCAAAGACAAAGATAGACTTGTCCTGCCCAGAAAATTTTCAAAATTACAACATCCCAGAAAACTGTGCCAGAGACACACGCCCTGTCCCCTGGGTGCAGCTGGGGACGGTCCACAAACCCAGCTGGAAGTGTCCTCATAGCAGGCCTGGCAGCCACTGCAGAGCTAGGCACAGGGTGATTCTCTGCTGCCACCACCTCACCACCCCTTTGTCCCCTGTAGCCTCTCACCACTGCCCACCGCAGGCCCCTGGCCTAGCCTGCAAGACCTTAATTGTCCTAACATTGCCCCTGCCCTTGCACGCTTCAGCCACCAATAGCTCCTAGGTCCTGTCAAGTGTCAGATCCGCAGGGAAGGAATTCCATGGGTCTCTTTCTTGCCTCCATGATCAGTGGGCTGAGGGCATTTCTCCTCTGAGCCTCAGTTTACTCCTCTGTGAAATAGGAATGAATATTAAATGATCTGCCTCGTGTGTGGGTGATCAAATACAGGCATGCATGCAAAGCCTGCAGCACTGCCCAGGATACCCTGTGACTGTTGCTGCGGAGCCTGCTGGCCTCCCTGCCTGGGAACAGTGTTGTGGCGACATGGGTCCAGTTCTTCAAAACACCTGAGACCCTTTTTACCTAGCCCAGGCCCTTCATCTGCTCACCGCCAGCAGAGTAATCAGGATGGAGATGAAAAGGGTCCTAGTGGGTCTCTGTCCTAACTAAAGATCACCAGCCAGCTCCCAGGGGTATCTCTTACCGAGCTCCCAGGGATGGTCAGTTCTGCTCTGGTCATACAAGGATAACTTTGTCTGGCTGTGTCTGCTTCAGATCTCTGGTGGACTGAACATCAGGTATGAGGAAGGACTGGAAAGGGCACTAGGTGGTCACCCTAAGCAGGTGATCTGGGAAGGCTTCTTGGAAGAGGAAGAGTGACAGGGACCTTAGAGAATGAGAAGCTTCTGGGCTGAGCTGCAGGTCACAGGGACATCTCAAAATGCAACCAGGGCAGATGGGGAAACTGCGGCCGTGCTGACCTGTAGGATTCTCTGAAGAACTTCAACCGCAGCTGTACACTGTGGAAGCCACATCCATGAAGAAAAGCTGGTCCCACTTGGCCACCTGGTCTGGCCATCTTGGCTGACCTTTAAGTACAGAGTTATCATGTCGGACAGGATGGCGGCCACTGTCCTCTGCACCTGGCCGTGGCAGGGTGGGGAGGCTGACACACCCTCAGATCAGCTTTAGGTGTGGTGGTTTGGTAGGATGGGTTGGGTTCCCCCCAGGACTGCCCTCTAGGAACACAGTTGCTCAGCGGTCAGGGTCAGTCACAACTCTTTCTGGGGCCTGCCCACACCTGATTGGCACCACCCTCTGGGATCCATGGTTTGTGCAGGAAGCCGAGAGAGCCCTATGTAGGTGACAGGAACTTCCTTCCTTGTGGAATGTGAGAAGGGCAGGCTACTGAGTCTCCCATCAGCTGTGACCTTGTGCAGTGTTGGCAGGTGGCAGTCCAGATAGTGCCTTCTTCATTGTGCTCTAACATAGTTCATCAAGCGAGAACAACGGCCCCAGAAGCTGGGAATGTGGAGTTGGCAGAGTGATTGTCTGGCATGTGTGAGGCCCTGGGTATCCCTAGCACCACAGAAACTGGGCCAGCCCTTGGGAATTGGAGGCAGAAGAATCAGAAGTTCAAGCCTGGACTTCATAGAAACCCTGACTCAAAACACAAAATGCCTCAAACCAAAAACAAAAAACTCTTTCACCCCAACTTTCACCAGATCACTCGTGGTTTTCCCCATGTGAAGTTGTCCCATCTTTGAAAAAACGGTCCTATTTTACTCCACCCCCAGTTTCTATAGAGACGTGCATCACCCAAGTTCCCTCATCAGGAAAGTGCTCTCTGAAGGAGTCCAGGATGCTCACCCCATAGCCTCCCCATTTCCCTGCCCACCTCGATGAGCCCTCCACCCTGTGCCACCCTGCAACCCACCCCCCCCTCATCCCCCCCCCACAGGAGAGTGAGGACGCCGTCAAAGCGCTGGCTAAGGAGAAGGACCTGCTTGAGCGAGAGAAGTGGGAGCTGCGACGGCAGGCCAAGGAGGCCACGGACCACGCCGCGGCTCTGCGCTCCCAGCTGGACCTCAAGGACAACCGCATGAAGGAACTGGAGGCCGAGCTAGCCATGGTGAGCTCACTGTCCACGGGAGTGGCCCAGGCCATTACTAGAGCTTGGAGGTTGGCAACTGAGGAGCAACGATGGGCCTCCCAAAGCCCCTGGGGGAGGAGGGAGTCATGAGGCTAAGGGAGAGCAGTGGGCTACATGATACTCACGATCTGGGGACGTCCTCAAGCGTAGGAGCATAGGGACCCTGGGAGGCCTCACCTGACCACACTCCCCTAGTGGCTGCTAAGGAGTAGGGAGATGGGAGGACGTATTTTGATTCAAAATAATCATAATTGTTTGAGGAAAGTATCTGGAAAGAAATACACAAAATACTAACATCCCTGAGTCTAGGATTACAAATGGCAGTATCTACCTATATGTGCATATGTACATTTATACGTATGCATGCAACATATACCTACCTATATGTGTATCAACTATTTATGTAGGATATCTAAAGGCTTTTGGTCCAAATGTATTTGTAGCAAAATTTTCTTAGGTCATCAGGGGAAAAATAGATGGATTTGTTACTGTTTTTTAATAACTGAAATCCATCGAAACAAGAAGACATGTTTCAAAAAGGCACGTGTGTGGGGATCAGAGCGAGTTCAGGGGTCTGACAGAGGTAGACGCGCCCCAAACTTTAGCCCTGGCTGCCGGTGTGACCTGAGCCATCCCCTGTGTCATTTCAGTTGTTAGGACAGGGTCTTCATTTCACTCCGCCTTCCCCATGACACGGCCCCCGCATAGCCAGAGCACGCAAAGCTACAAGAGCCCCTGAACACACCCTGGATCCAGTGTGACAGTGGCCTGTAGAAGTTGCATGGTGACTCGTGTTGACTCCTTATTTTATTCTAATTACGTGTGTGTGAGAGAGGTGGGGGGGTCAGAGGACAGCTTGTTGGAGTTGGTTCTCTCTTTCTACTCAGATCCTCAGGCTTGACAGCAAGCATCCTTACCCAATGAGCCATCTTAAATCCTCCTCCCACCCTCGGGGCACCCTACCTTCCTTGTGTGACTCTTTAGTAGTGGGCTATATTGCCCTGCAGGGTGCCAGCACCAGCTACTGTATTTACAGACCTCCATAGGGATGTTTGACCTCTTCAGCCTCCTTTCTACTTGGGGGTCCTTGCATATGCCCTCTAGGGCTTTAGGGAGGAGACAGCTACCATGGCATCTGTAGAAGGTGATGGCAGGATAGTTTGCCCAGCAAGAGTGAAGCTACCCTGAGCAGGGCAGCTGCCTTGTGCAATGCTGACCCCTAGTGGTGAGAGCCTTCCAGGCAGGAAGACTACCTCCACTTCATGACTTGTTGATGCTTCCTGCAGCTCTGAGGGGACGGGTGGGAAAGACCCTGTGTGCCCAGATAGATGAAGCCCATCTTGGTGCTTTGAGCCCTGCCCTCAGTGTCTGATGGGTTCCCTGCTGTTCCCTATACTAGGAACTAGCCCCTCTGGCTTCTGCTCCCGACATACTGACAGAGCCTGCTTTACTCCGGCCAGAAACTCGGCTCCTCCCTCCAGACCCTCCGCTGCTGCAGGCTTTGAGCCTTCCTAGAGGCAGAGGGAAGTGCTTTACACAGACCTGCGATGGCCCCCTCTCCTCTAGGTGTCTCCTGACAGCCCATTCCCATCATCCCTTGACAGACTTGGCCAACTCAGGCAGCCCTTTCAGGAGAGCGCGGGGAGCGCAAGTCTCAGAGATCCTAAGCAACAGAGAGCAGCTCTGCCTGACAGAAGCATGTGGGCATTCTGGGCATTCTGGAAGGAAGTCGGGACCTGCAAGTGCCCTAGGAAGTAGGGGATGCTCAAGGTCACGCAGCAAGTTCCAGGGCAGCAGAGGTCAAGCCCATCTCTAGCTGGACTGTAGTCACATGGGCACAGTCGTCCCAACTCAGAAATCCCCAGGAACTCGATGCTCCAAGTTCAGGGTGCTCAAGGGAAGATGGGAGACCCCAGAAGTGATGAGTATATACTTGCTTCCTTCTTCCCGACACGGGGGGGTCTCACTTTGCCCTTAGTAACAGCCGAAGGTGAGACCCCGGTGAGGTGGGGGAGACCTGTATTACAGGCACATGGCCTGCTGCACCACACTGCCGGTGGCTCGCTGGTGTGATGGTGAGAGGTCCCCTCTGGTTACATGTTCTTCCTGTCTCCCGCTCTTGCTCCAGGCCAAGCAGTCCTTAGCCACACTGACCAAGGATGTTCCGAAGCGGCATTCACTCGCCATGCCCGGCGAGACGGTGCTCAACGGCAACCAGGAATGGGTGGTTCAGGCTGACCTCCCGCTGACGGCTGCCATCCGCCAGAGCCAGCAGACGCTCTACCACTCCCACCCTCCCCACCCTGCAGACCGGCAAGGTGAGTCCTGATCGGCCTGGTCCTGGGCCCAGTGGGAACGGCGGCTTCCTCCTCGTTCATGCTTCATCGGCCCCCAGGAGAGACGATGCCTCACGCTCGTAACCGGACCCACTAAGAGATAGGGCTTCGGGCAGAGCTGAGTCCAGAGGCTCAACTGGGCCTAAGGAGAGCTAATTACCCCGATCGGCCAGCTTGGGTTACATGGCCACCCCAGAATAAATGACAATGTCTGGGAGGGCCAGTGCTCCGATTAGTCAGCCTGAGTGTCGTCGCCCCCCCCTCCCCCCCCCCCCCCCCCCCCCCCCACCCCCCCCCCCCCCCCCCCCCCCCCCCCCCCCCACGCGCCCNCCCCCCCCCCCCCCCCCCCCCCCCCCCCCCCGCATCCTTTGGCGGAGAGGGTACCGAGCTCCTTGAATGACAGCTGTAGTAGTCCATAGGTTCACACTGCTGAGATCATAGCCTGGCTCTGCTACTCACAGAGGTCGTGACCTCTGACCCCAGCACAAGGGTCGTCTGTTCCTCTGGTATGAGGGATGCTGGATTCTTTCTTAATGCCCAGTGTGTGCTACATGTCTGTTTGCTGAGCCCTCCCTCCCAGGGTTGCCAGAAAGGTAAAGTGTACAGAATTCCCAAGTCAGGGCCTTGGTAAATATTAGCTGCCCCTTCCTGTCAGTGCTGATGGGGGATACACAGGGTTTCAGACTCCTTTCTGTAAACAGACCTTGAGACAGCAGCTGTGTTCTGCTGACCCAAGCCGGGATTCCCCCCACCGCCAGGATGGTGTGGGGAGATACAGCAGGCCTTTGAAGCCAGGTCAGAACTGAAGACCTTAGCAAACATAAGTCTAGCTCAGCCTCTGGTCAGCAGGGATGCTGAACCCCAGGGGTAGCTAACTACCTAGTCGGTCGCAAGATCCAAGTGTGCAGATGGCTCCCCAGCCTCTGGTCCACCTTGGTGATAGGAGGCAGAGGTACTGCTGAAGGTGGGGTGAAGGTAGGGCAGGCAGAACCCGCGACAGCTTAGGAATTAAAGGATCACTCTTCCTACAGCTGCAGGGCCTTGCCTGGGTGGGGCTGACGTTGAGTTGTGGTTAGCCAGGCCACGGGATCCGCCCTCTGGACTCTTCCTCCTTTGCTTCCCTTGCCTCTCCTGCAGCCAGTGTGGCTCTTTTTAGTGAGCATGTCTCCTCAGAGATGCTTCCAGGCCCTCCCCCTGGCTGTGCCCTAGGCTTGTCCGTTCTTCTATAATTTACCTGCACAGGGGTCACCCACCTCCACGCCAGGCCATTGCTGGGAAGGCCTTTGGCACGTGGCTCTTTTCCCTCCCTACAACACACGCCACAGTAGGCGCATGTCCTACCCCACTGCTCTGCAGAAGGGCTGTCACCAGCACCGTTTTAGTTTGCTTTATGTTGCTGTGGCAAGCTCTGTGACAGAAGCCGCTTGGAGAGGAAAGGGTTATTCCATCTGACAGCATACAACCTCATGAAGGGAAGTCAGGGCAGGAACTCAAAGGGAAGAACCTGGAGGCAGGAACAGAAGCAGAGACCATGGAGCCCTTCCACGTCAATCATCAATCAAGAAAATGCCCCCTACACACACACACACACACTTGCCTACCAGCCAATAAGGAGGCAGTTTCTCAACTGAGGGTCCCTCTTCCCAGATGACTCTAGCTTGTGTCAAGTCGGCACAGAAAACCAACCAGCACAGGCACCTCCATGGCTCAGATAATCAGATTGGCTCAAGAGGGTGAGGAGCATGCCCTGGACTATACAGCCTATAAAGGAGTTTGCCAGATGAGAACTAATTCAGAACCACCAGCAGGTTCCCCATCTTCCCCGTTGGGCCACATGAGCATTGGTGGCAAGGATGGTCTGTCAGGAGTGCCTGCCTGGAGTGGATGCCCAGGTAACAACGGTCCCTCTGTGTGGTACTGGCACTATTATATGGGAGAGATCTGTAGCAGGGTCCAGTGGTCTTCTGAGCTATGGCTTCTAGGAGAGACCTTTTATCTACAACTTAAGTGTCTATAAAGAGCCAACCCTGAAAGTCCAGGAGGTGAATGCGTCCAAGGACCCACGGTGCACTCGGTGCCAGACAGACAATGCGGGTGTAAATAACGTCCCGTCCCGCTAGAAGATCTGCAAAGGGGACTGGGAGGGTGGCTCAGCTGGGAAGGTTCTGGATGCAGAAGTATGGGGACTTGTGTTCAGACCTCAGAAGAAGCTGGGCGTGACAGTGTACACCTGTAATCCCAGCTCTAAGGAAATGAAGACTGGGGTCCTGGGGTTCACTGGCCAACCAGTCTAGCTGATTTGGTGAGCTGCAGGGTCAGTGAAAGACCCTGTCTCCAAAAGCAAGGTAGACAGGGCTGGGCAGGTGGCTCACAGTTAAGATCAATGGCTGTTCTTGCCATTGTGGGTTCAGTTCCCAGCACCCACATGGAGGCTCGCAACCTGTGACTCCAGTTCCAGGGGATTTGCTGCCCTCTCCTGGCCTCCACAGGCACTGCAGACATGGCGTACACACACACACAGGCAATTGTGCAACACACACACATACACGTAAATAAAAGCAAGTTTTAAAGAGGTTGATAGAGAAAGACACCTGTCAGCCTTTGGCCTCGCGTGCATGCAAGCACAAGTGTCGCAGGGAGTGAGTGACTGAGCTCTGGCTGCTGAGGTGCCCAGGGTTTATGCATGCCAGGCTTCATAGACCAGAAGGGGCGTACTTTATACCCTGACCGTGGCCAAAAGCCACTGGCTCTGACTTCAGTGTGAGGAGTAGAGGTAAGGAGGCCATCCTGGTCTTCAAGGGAACAGATGGCAGTTGCCATGGGCTAGGAGAGGAGATGGACTTAGCTATATTTCATGGACTCTGGGGAAAGAAAGGAGCTGGTCATCGCTTGGGGGCAGGGGTTCTTGTCCGGGACTCTGCTATTGAGCTGTGGTTAGGGTTGCATAATATCTCAGTCCATTCGGGTGAGATTTTACAGACCCTTGGGCCAAGATGGATCAAACGGAAGGGGGAGGGTCACCCCAAGAGCAAGCAGGGCTGTGGTGCAGAAGGGAAGGGCTGGCCACCGCACCCCCTTCCCTCTGGCTCAGCATCATTGTCCCTATAGTAGGTGCATCAGGTTGACCCTCCCGGGTCTCTCACTCACCTGCCGTCCCTGTTTTCCAGCGGTCAGGGTGAGCCCCTGCCACTCACGGCAGCCCTCCGTCATCTCCGACGCCTCTGCTGCTGAAGGGGACCGGTCATCCACACCGAGCGACATCAACTCTCCACGACACCGGACGCACTCCCTCTGCAACGTAAGGCCAGCAGCAGCAGGGCCTGGGCACTGGGGCCCTGCCCAGACATGGCGGGGCCTTGGGGTGGGATAAAGACGTGCCCCCTCTTTCCTCTCGTCCACCCAGGGAACGCTGTGGCGAAGGCATTTCCCGTTCTGTTCTTTCCTTATGCGTGAAGCAGTGGATGTGGGGAGAGAAAGAAAGGAGGCCTGTTTCTTCCTGTGTCCGGGAGGGCGAGGAGGGTCTGCGCGGCCTGGAACCCCGCCAGGTGCACCCCATCTTGGGCCCTGCATGGGACCTTGGGCCTGGCTACAGGACCACCTGTCCCCTGTCGCACCGGCTCTCATCTTTCACCCTGAATGCAAAAGATTACTGTGTTTTAGTTTTGAGACTCCAGTGGCTTGGGACACATTTGGCCTCTGCAGAGAGGCCCTGTGAATTGGTCTTACTTTTTTAGTCAAAAAAAAAAAAGGTGTTTTTGTTTTTTTAATTATGTACTGACCCCAGCAGCTAAAAGACATGAGTCCTCCAGGCAGGCTCTATCTAGTCTGCTTTTCATTTACTAAGAACAAAATGACCAAGGCTGGGAAGCTCATGAAGGAAATGGTTCCCGTTATGCTTAGCTGTTAAAGGCTCCATTACTTCCCACATCGTCACACTGGGGACCAGGCTTTCAATCCAACAAACCTTTGGAAGATGCTCTGAAGCCATAACCCCACCACTGCAGGCTCCCAGGCTGGTGGTCCCAGCATCAGTGGACGGCTGAAACCCCTGTCAGCCTCCAAGAGGAATGGAAAGTCAGAGGTGGGAGCCACTTCAGATTTCTGTCCCATCAACATAGTGGATAACCCAGAGGGCTTCCCTGCCATGTCCTGGTGACAGAGGTGCCACACTGAAGTGTCTTCAGATGCATACGCATTTTTCTTTCTTTCTTCTCCATTTATTTTTATTTTACGTGCATGAGTGTTCTGCCTGCATGTGTATGTCGGTGCACCATGTATGTGCACGGTGTGTGTGGAGGCCAGAAGAGGGCATCAGAGTCCCCTGGAACTGGAGTTACAGGGGGTTGTGAGCCACCATGTGGGTGCCAGGAACCGAACTCAGGTCATCTGCGGGCATAGCAAGTGCTCTTAACTCCTGAACCATCTCCCCAGCCTGGGGAGGCATTTTTAGCAACTCAAGGTAGCATTGCTTTATTAACCAGCAGAACTTGCTAACAGTGTGAGCATTTTTCAGGACACGCAGGAGAGGGGCATGCCATAATAAGCAAGTATGTAAGGTTATGAATAACAGCGACTTTCCTGGGTACGGGCAAGAGGGGACCCCATCTGCAGTAAGCATGAAAAGGGTTTATTATTAAAGTAGCTGCGATCCCAAGAGCTGGCGAGATGGCTCGGGTGTTGAAGCATTTGCTGTGCAAACATGAAGAGATGAGTGTCCACATAAGCCACATAAAAAGGCCAGGCGCAGGGTTGTGTGCTTGTGATCCCAGCACTGAGGAGGTCGAGACAGGAAGATCCCCGGGCCTCCCTGGCCAGCCAGCCTTGTTTTATCAGCAAGCTCAGGCCAGTGAAAGGTCCTGTCTCAGGATACAGCGAACGGCATGGCTCCTGAGGGATGACCTGAGGTTAGCCTCTGGACTGCACACATATTCACACGTACACTCGCATACATACACACACACACACACACACACACACACAAAATCGCTAAGACTAAACTTTAAAGAGGCATCACAGCCTACCTGGGTGCGATTACTGGCCCAGAAGCTACACATTGCCCGTGGCAGGGCTAGGGTCCCTTCTTTTCCAGGGGTTGTGACAAAGAGTGTGACTTCTGTCCACAGTCTTAAGGGATGAGGCCGACAGACCAAAGACAGCAAGGAGAACCACTCCAAGGTCTCTCTCATCCATTTGTCAATAGAAAGGACCACAGTGGACATGGCCCTGCCCGAACCATGCAGGTGGAGAGTCTCAGTCCTAGGCAGGTGTGCTCACCCCCAAACAGGAGCATCTTCCTAAGGGCCACGCTGACCTTCTGGTGACCTCGGGGATAGACCTGCTGCTGACAGATCTACCCAGAGGAGGACTCCCAGCTCCCAAATGGCATTTGACACAGGCCAATCTCTTGCTAGCCTCAGCACATAGCTGAGGCAACATAGCTGGGGGGGGGGAGGGATATTTCCCAGAGGAACTGTCTCAACTCCCTATAGGATGGGTTTTGTTTGAAAACCTTGAGTCCATACCATAGACTGAACTGCCATGAGTCCTTTCTCTCCAAACTCCCTTTATTCCACATCTCAATAGGTGCACACATAGGTAAGCTAAAAAGCCAGAAAATGATTCCAGGTAACCCTCTGTCCTCTGTCCTCAGGGATCTCACCTGGTACCAACAAGATCAACACAGACCAACAAGACTAGATTAAAGATTACCTCACATTCTGACCGTGAATTAGAGCAAAAGTGAAGCCTCAGTATGGGGAAATTGTACATTCAGATACTGGTTGTACAATTCTATGCTTGTAATTCCAGAAACAGCCACCAGGAGTCTCCCCAGTAATGCCTTTTGTAATCTCAATGTATTTTCTGCTCCTTGGTAGAGCAGGCGTGATTCACAGATGTTAGTAAAAACTTTTGCACCTTCACGGGCTATATTAAGGGTCCCTTCCCTACCCATTTGGAACACATTTGGCAACCAATGGAAATGTCCCCCCCTACTGGGACATAGTTGGCAACCCATAGAAATCTACCTACCCACAGGCTCCCTGATGAATTTGAAAAGAGTCCAGACCTGTGTGAGCAGGTTTCCTGGCAGCCAGGACCCAGTATGTACTTGCTGTGGAACCCTGCCTAGAAAAAACACAGAGCCAGGAGAAATGAGACACCCCAAATCTGAGTCCCAACTCTGCTTGTTATTAGCCCTGTAAGAGATTGCAGGCGGACCCCTGCTTATGCCTAAACCCACAGCCATAGACTGCGGGAGTTGCTGTGTTGGTTTCAGGGTGTTTTAGTGACCATGTGGTCTCCTGAGTCAATTGTTTAATTTGCTGTTATACTCCCCCCGCCCCCTTCAGGAAACAGAACCCGGGGCTTGCTAGGCGAGTGTCTGTCACTGATCTCAACCCTCTCCCCTTTAGGATGCTTTATCCACTAAAACTGATGTCTTTATTTAAAACAAAAAAACCAAGTGAAACCAACCTCCCATTTGAACACATGGACCACAGGCAGGAACTTAAATTTTAAAGGATTAAGGGTTAGAGGTCAGAGCAGGCAGGAGAGTTTCTCGGGGTCCCTGATCTGATGAGCCCCATCAGTCGGCTGTGTGGAAATGCCGGAGGGTAAGGATCTCCATCCTCTGTAGAGGCAGGGCAGCCCTGGAGGAATTGGTGGCTTCCTTCCAGGAAAGACCCCCTCCCGCCCCCATCCTCACGGATGACCCCTGCTCTCGTGTGTCACGAGTCTGCTGCTTCATCTTCTTCTCTTTCGGCTACAGGGCGACAGTCCCGGCCCGGTTCAGAAGAGCCTGCACAGTCCTATTGTACAGGTGGGTATGGCTTCCCTGGCTGCCCGCATCCTCCCGCCACCCCAGCCTGACCCTCTTCCGTAGACAGGTTTTCCTTTGGGCCATTGGCTCACAAATAATGACATGGAGGTATATTGTTAATTATGAAAGCTTGGCCTTAGCCTAGCTTGTTCCTAACTAGTTCTTATAACTTAAATTAGCCCATTTTTTTTTTAGATCTGCATTCTTTTGTGGGGTGCAGTTACCCTTACTCTGTACCGCTCATGCTGCTTCCTCCACATCTGGCTGGCGACTCCACCTTTCTTTCTCTCTGAGTCCTCTCTGTCCCCAGGAGTCCCGCCAACCTCCTCCTGCCTAGCTGGCCATTTGGCTCTTTATTAGCCACTCACAGTGACGCCTCTTCGCCCGGTGTAAAGGAATATTCCGCAACACTCTTCCAGCCTGGGTGCTCTGAACCTTCAGTCACCCCATGCCAGTTTTAAACTCCTGAGATAGAGAGGAACTGAACCCCGCCTTGAGTCACATGTGTTCTGACGCCTGAACCACAGGCAGTGGACACATGGCGCCCCTGGCTTTTTTGTCATCCGTGTGAGAAGGGCACACAGGGCGGAACCTGAGGGCAGCATCTCTCCTGTTAAGGTGTTTCCCATTTTCTGACTCTGCACCATCTGTCTGCATAGGGTTTCCCTAGAGAAGACTACATACATCTTGAATGCAAATTCCTAAGCCCCACCCAGTGGAGGTTCCAGTACAGACTGGGGGCAGGGGCTGCATTCCAGGACATTCTAAAGTGTCATGTGAGCCTTGAGTCTAGGTTTTGCCCTGCCCTTTCTGTAGGTGATACCAACCACGCGCCATTGCATAGGACATTTGGCCATTTGTGAAGCTCTCTGCAGGTGCTACCCCAAACCCCAGTTATAAGATCATCGTCAGAGCTCCTAGACGGGCCCTGTTCCGCACTTAGCACGTGTTAAAGCGTCAGTTCTGCACACAGTCTGTCCACCCTGCATTAGAGTGACCACAGGCAGTGGCCAAGGTCATGGGTATGTTCCTGCAAGCCCTTACGTCTGCAAAGTGATAGTGGTAGCCCAAGCAGCTGGATCAACTCCTGGCCACTATCTGGCAGACAAACCAGGATCCATCCTGAGTGTCTTTGCTTTACCTCCGCGATGCACTCGGGACAATCTGGAGTGGGTTCTGGTACTGTCAGTGAGAGGCTTTGAAGATAATCTGGGTTTTCTCAGAGAACAAGGGATCGATCCCTAGGATGCTTGCCCCAGAGCCCAGCTTTTTATCCGTGCCCTTCATCCCTCACTGTGACCTGGACTGGGACTTTGGAAAGCCTCCTCCCTGCCCTTCCACCCACCACTCTCCTTCCTGCGAGCCCAGGTTTACCTCTGTTCCTCTCCCCCCTCTGCCTCAGTCACTAGAGGATCTTGAAGACCAAAAACGGAAAAAGAAGAAAGAGAAGATGGGATTCGGCTCCATCTCTCGAGTCTTCGCCAGAGGGAAGCAACGGAAGTCCCTCGACCCGGGCCTCTTTGATGGTACCGCCCCTGATTATTACATAGAGGAAGACGCGGACTGGTGATAACCCACCGCCCTTCGCCCATTGTCCGTGGGCATGTCTGTGTGTGGATGAGCCATGGAGCGTGCGAGTGTATGTGCATGGGGGTGCGGGGCCTGCGTGGGGTGCGTGTGCACGGGTGCACTCACCCACATGGGTGTGTGTGGCCGAGCACCTAGAACAAGCAGAAACACAAAAGTGACTCCGCCCCCCTCCGCGTCGCCACCTCTGTAACCGATGTACATACCACAAACCGTGTGTGACTCTTGTCAACTCTGTTGTCTCCGAGCGATACAGTTGTGTTTGTTTTTCTTGTTTGTTTTGTTTTTCAATGTTTCGGGGGGGGGGTGTTTGTTTGTTTAATCCGTCGTATTTTCATTTATAATTTCCCCCCCCCCCCTTTTCTCTTCCCTCCTCCTTTTTATGAAACTTGAACACTTGAAGGACTGCTGTGTATTTGTAAATAACAAGAGTGGTGTGCTCTTTGTCCTGTAAAGTCCCTCGTCCAGCCGCTACCGCAGCCCATGTCGCCTAGGAGATGGATGGTCTGTCTTCCATGGCCCCCTCCTCCCGACCCCTCAGTGTGAACGTGTGGGACCAGACCCTGTTCTCGGGGTGTGCCCAAGTCACTTTAACCACAAAAGCACCCCCGCCATTGTTGTCAGGGTAAGGTTACTCTGCAAAGTCTTGGCTGGGCTGCAGTGTTTATAGGGGTCATCCAGGCTCTTTTTAATGGCCTGCCTGTTTTTAAATTGTGTTGCTGTTTCTTTCTTTATGGAACAAAAAGAGAGAAAGAAAACTGTTGCATTTAACTTATTTGCACAAATGCAGAAAACGTATTCTATCTAAATTATTACGTGAATATCGGAATGTATATTTTTCCACGGGGTGGGCGGGAGGCGGGCGTTTTCTGCTGACTTGTCTATTCTGTGTTCATGCCGCTGCAGACACTGTGCGAGGTAGAATTAGGGTGGCTAGAACTGGGGACCTCAGATGGCCAGCTTGCTTATTCTCTTTTCTCCTTTCTGTCTCTCCCGGCTGCTGTCCCTGCATGAGAGGACTCCCACCTTCTGCTCTGGCCTTCCTCTATATATATTCTCTCTATATATATTTATTTATCAGACATACAGAACGTGGCTTCAGTGAGCAGAGCACTGACGATCATGTTCTCTTTGGCCTGTCTTTGGAGCCATGTTAATTGAGTCCAGGGAGGTTAGCCTGGGCCACATCCGTAGGGTCTGGCCAGACATCTGCACCTGAGTCAGCTGGGTAAGAGGCCTCCAGTGGCGCACACACGCACGCACACACACAACACAACACACACACACAAGTGCACACACACACCTCTCCATCCCTAGTTTGTTCCATACATGGGCCAGGCAGATGTCATCAGAGAAGATGCCCACCTTCTGGGAAGGGCTGTTGGGGAGAATATCTGGCAAGTGAACCCTCTGCCCTCTTTTTTCCAATCGGCTTCTTCAGCCACGCATGGACTCTCTTGGAATGCCCAAAGCCCCATCCTCCAGTTCTATCAGCAGCCTAAGCAGGCTCATCCCATGAGGGATGGTGGATGCCTATGCCTATTTGGGGAACAGCATTGACCCCAACAGGGCTTCAGCAGGGCATGGAGAACCCAGGGTTTTCGGCCAGTTCTTCTCCACCCCTAAAACTCAGTTTCCCCCTTTTGTCCCAGGATCCCCTTTCTACTGATCCTTAACCACTAACAGCTCAGTCCACGCCCCTCGTGGCCACTGTGGCACTCCCTCTAACAATATCATTCTCAGCTCTTAAAAAGAGATTTTTTTTTCAATGCTGGATGGAGCATCTGGAAGGTATAGGATCTTGTGCCCAAAGTCTCTAAAACAAGCCAAAAAGCCCCCACCAGGTCCCCTCTTCCCTCCCAACCCAGCCCAGAGTCTGAGAGAGCAGGCAGGGGCACCTAACGAGCTTCCCTGTGTCCCTTTCAGCTCAGTTGATTAGCCCAGCCTGATGGTGAGGGAGGCCAGAGCTGGCATCAGGGGGAGGTCTTAAGGAAACGTTTTTCCTCTTCCTCCCATTGAATTTTTGTGTTTTATTTTATTATTTTTTTAATGGTCCACACCCTCCCTTTTACTTAAAGGAAACAAGATTGCACCTCTCCTGGTAATGACTGAGTCGTTCCTTTTCATTTCAGTCTTTTGGAAATTAGGAGATCATCCTAAGGGTTACTAAGAATGATTTATTTGAGAGAACCACGTCAAATAGCGAATGAGTTATGGGTAACTATAGATGAGAATGACCTTTTCCCGTGGGAGAGGTTTCTCGAAGGCATGGATGCAAAATATAAAATATTAAAAAAAAATCTAAATAAAGCTTATTTTAAAATATGATGGAATTCTATGTGATTTGATTGCTTCTACGTTGCTCCAAGGGGAGCCAGCCGTGACCCATCAGGAGGCCAAGCTTGCATGACCTCCACTCCAGGAAATTCCTACGCTGGGTGACAGGAGGGACCGAGGAAAGCTGGCTGGATGCTAAGTCCCCTGAAGAGCGCCAAGCCAGGTGGACTCCCAGAACATCTTGCGTGTGTCGCCTCTCCTCATTTGGAGGTGCAATCGACATCCAGGGCTGCCCACATCCTAACGCAGCACCTCCAGGCCCAGGAGCCCCCATCCCCTGGAGCTCAGAGGCCAACCCCCACCAGCTTTCATCGCCTCCCCCCCTCACCCGTCTGGAGGTCAGAGCTGTGGCCGTGGTTTTGAGGTGCTGCCTTTCCTTGGGCCTCAGCAGACCTCTTCGTCCCAAGTTCCACCTTGGGCAACCAGGGTTCAAGGCAGAGTAGACCAGGCTTTTTTTTTTTTTTTCCTCAGCTTCACAAAACCAGGGTTTTGATCTACATCCTGATTGTAAGCAACGCCCTCAGTTTCTGTTTTGTGCTCAGAAGCAGGACTGATCAGAGATCGTACTTGAATGCCCCTTCCAGCTCTGCTGGCGGAGAATGTGGAGCTCCAAAATCAAGCCATCCTCCGGGGTGCCAAAATGCAGGACCCCATGTCAGTGACATCAAAAGGTCAGGAAAGCTAGGGACCATAAGGAGCTTTGGCCACCTGAGTTCTCAGTGGCCAGCCACATTCCTGGAAGCAAAGACCTTTATCCCTGGTGGTTCTAAGCGGCAGCCAGGAATGAGAAACCACCACAAAGCTAATCTAAGCAAGGCAGATCTGGTCCTACTTGCGACTTGGTAGTCTGTGCCTGACCCTATGCAGATATTACTAACCAGAGTCCCTCCTACCCATCCAAGAGTAGCTCAGACCTCTCACTTTACAACACTAGCCTGGCTTCTGGACACTGGTTAAAAAATAAATGGGGAAAATTTAAGCTCAGAAATGAATGGTTTGGTCAAAGTCCACCACTCGAGCGGGACCACACCAGTACTCTCTCCTCTGTGTGTTTCTCTTATGGGCGGGGTCATACTAAGGAAACACCCTACCGCTGAGCTACAGCGCCCCTCATGGGCCCTCCTTAATTAAAAAAGAATCCCTCCCAAGGGGCACCCGTTGGCTCGAAATTGGAGCAGTCTCCCAGAGCACGGAAAGCCAGTGTTCCTGCTGTGCAGGCTGTACGCTGTCCCTAGGAAGATTCCCTAGGAAGGTACGGTTGTGTTGTCTGGGCTACCGAGTGACTGATCCCCCTGGCTGGTGCGGCACTCACCCTTCAGGGTTACTCGGTAGCCTTTCTGCATGCTCTCCCACTCACGCTACCAGTGTAACCAGTAATAGTAACAACAATAATATCTAACCTTCATCAGCCTCCATGTTGTGCGTTCTCCATGGATTAACTCAGTTAACCCCACAGCCTGTGTCACCCACGAGGGATCTGAGGTCAGGTAGCATCCATGTGCGGGGAGGGGGGGGTTGTAGGTGTGCACTGTCATGCCTAGTTTGTGCAGTGCTGGGGATAGAACCCTGGCTTTGAGCCTGGGGAGTCTGACTGTACCCCAACATCTGGGGCTGGGAAGGGCCTGCAGTCTGTCGAGCCTGGGGAGTCTGACTGTATCCTAGCATCTGGGGCTGGAAAGGGCCTGCAGTCTGGGGTGCCTTCCTGCTCAGGAGGACCTGGCTTGAAGCCCCTACCCTAATCTCCAACACGCCCAGTGGCCTCTGATCAAGCCTGGTACTGCTTTGTTGTTAGAGTACAGTGTTCCCATACTGAGCAATGAACCCGAGAACCAGCTCTACTCCAGCTGGGGAAGGCATGTGGCACCCCAACACTAACAGGTGAACCAGCAAGCTGCTGTAGCCATGACACTTGGTGACACTGACCTAATGCTGTTGGCCCTGGGAACCCAGGCGAGGGCTGACTGTACTGTGGATTCTTGACTTTTGGGGATGGGCGGGCGGTGCAGTATGGGAGATTGAAACTAGATGCTCGTGTGTTAGATGTGTGCTGTGCCATCAAATTTCATTGCCCAGGACTCTGTACTTTTTTATTTATAGACAGGGACTCAGTAAGTTACCTAGATTGGTCTTAAACTTGAGCTCTTCCTGCCTCACACTCTGTGGCAGCTGGTATTACAAGCATGCTCCATCGGGCCTGGCTTTCAAACAATATGGTTTTTGAACACCCCAACTTACATTTTAACAAAAGAGACTTCACAAAGCCCCCCATTATGGCAAATGACTCTTAGTTTTTTCAATCTCAACCCCCTACTAGGTGAGGTCCCTCCGTCCTATTTTCTAGTGGATAAAAACATGGTCAGGAATGGCTAAATAAGATTGCAATCTGAAATAGTTCTGTATGAGCATTAAAAATAACCCCAGTGGGGCTGGAGAGATGGCTCAGTGGTTAAGAGCATTGCCTGCCCTTCCAAAGGTCCTGAGTTCAATTCCCGGCAACCACATGGTGGCTCATAACCATCTGTAATGAGGTCTGGTGCCCTCTTCTGGCCTGCAGACATACAGACAGAATATTGTATGCATAATAAATAAAATAAATATTTAA